AGGGCATGAGCTTGCCAGAGATAGAGCGACAGGTACAGAAAGTGAAAACCACCCCCGGGGAGATGGCCATGCCACAATCCTTTCTCCTCCACTCCTCTTAGAATTTTGGGCATTCATGTACACGCGCCTGGCGTGAGTTTTAAGCATGATGTCCGGAACTTGAACCATGGTCAACTACATGGGAGTTCAACGACATCTGCTGGTCCCAGAAATCGATCTTTAAAAAATGTTCAAAGATGTGTCTTTGCTCTTCCTATGCAATAGGATGTGAGCCACCACGCCCTGCACAGACTTAAACACAGTAAGCTACGGCCCCTGAGGGCCCCTGATGACGTCACTTGCTTCTCGGTGTTCTGACGTGGCCCTGCCAACAGCTCTCCAGACACGTCCCAGCTTCTCAGTGATGGCGTCTGTCCCCGCCTCCTTCCCAACGCCCACTTGGAGCCTTGGCTCGAGGGCCAGCCAGACTCCGGGACACCACCCCGGCCATGCACCCTTCCCTCTGGGCCAAGGCTGCCCATTTCCAGGGCAGGTGACACTCCAGGTTATGTGCCCTCTCTCCTCAACTCCAGCTAAGAATGCTAGGACTTCAGAGGCACCATTAAGAAGACAAATGGATACTCCAGTAGGGGCTCACGGGGCACAGCCCAGAGCCAGCCGTGAGGCCACTGGCTGCCCAGACCCCGGGGCGCTTGCTCGCTGACCCCACGTCTCGGCCATGACCCTGCCCTGCTGGTGCGCCCATGTGACCTCACAGTGGCCATGTCAGGGGACACACAGCTGACTTGTCCTCTCCGGAGCCCTGGGAGGAGGACTTTCCCAGCACCGTCATACACATGGGAAACAGGCCAGAGGAACTGTGGGGCACAACCGGTAGGTACCCACAGGCCTAGGCGCTCCACGACAGGCCAGGGCTGAGCCCGACTGGCCCTTCAGGCTCCTCTCGAGCCGGCCCGCACCCTCAAGGGCCTGACGTGTGCACTCCCCTGGCTCCCACCTGCCTTGACTGGGCCACCACGGGCCCTTGGCCTCGTCCCAGCAGTGACCGCCAGTCCCAGTGTCTGGTCTCCTTGGGGACTGCGCAGGCCCCGTAGGACTCGTCATGGTGACAGGAGACTGGCTTTCCACCAGCCAGGGGACCTCCTGTTCCGTCCATGGAAGCCTTCCCAGCCACCTTGTCCTTTATGAGGCTGATTCGGGGCTCCCCGTGGAGGCTCCTGTGTTTTCAGCTGCGCACGTAACACAGCGTCCTGCAAAGGGACGAGGGGGCGTGTGAGGCCGGACTGAGTCCAAGGGCTCCGCTCACAGGGCCTCTGTCCCGAGCCGCCTGGGTGCCCAGCATGGGGAAGTACTTGGCGCTGAGCCGCCCCAGCGCACACTCTGCCCCGCTGCCCACATGCATGCTCTGGGTCTGCCTGCAGTGATCGCCTTGGCATGGGCTATTTCCAGGTGTGCCGGCCAACGCCATCTGACTGGGCCGCCCTGCTCCCCACGGCGTGTTCGGCACACGCAGCTCCGGTCATTCCCCTCGTGTCCTGAGCCGAGCTGACCATGCCCAGTGAGCAGCTGAGTGTCAGGAACGAATGGTAGTGCCTGGATGCGGCATACGTGGCCTGGTGGTCCACGGACCCTCCATGTGGCCAGGGAGGGCGTGTGCAGGCTGTCGGGTTGACATGAGTATCTCCACACAGAGGGTCAGGCGTGGTCACTGCAGAATTGTCCTCCTTGTGGCTTTCATGGTGTGGGAGGCCAGAGGCCAGCTATCCTGTCTTCGACAGCCAGAACCGAGGAGCAGGGCCGCCCCATCTAACGGGAATGTGCTCGTGGCCTCTCCTGTGAGGATGGCCGATGCCAGAGCCAGGGGGACCCACGCCACCTGCACTCCGGTGAGACCTGGTGAGTGCTCTGTGGGGCTTGCTGAGGCCTTGGGTCTCCTCCGCAGGGACGGGGGGATGTCACCTACATGCCGGAGAGACCTGGGGAGTGCTCCGTGGGGCTTGCTAGGCCTTGGGTCTCCTCCACAGGGACGGGGGTGTGACATCATGTATGGGGCGCTCCAGCCCCAAAGACCCTCAAAGACACCAGGACTACTGAGAGAAGAGGGGACAGAGGGACACGAGGATGCCATGGCGCCACCTACCCCGGCTACAACTGCCGTTCACACAGTCGGACACACACATGCCATGTGGCGTGAGGCCGAGAATTGGCCTCCTGAGCTTACGGTCTAGGCAAACGGAGTTGGGAGCTGGTGGACCTGCAGCTCAGGGCCGAACGCCTGTCTGAGCTCGGACCCAAGTCGAGCAGGAGGAGGTGCCTCTGGACACACGGTGGCGAGTCTCGCGGTGTGGAACAGCCTCGGAGCGCAGCAGCGCTCGGGGTAGCTGGGGACAGGCCCGTCCCGTGGTGTAGGTGTCTCCCTGGGCGGTAACCTTACATTTGTTTCAGGTTTGCTTTGTACATGTGAAGGCCGAGACACCTTTCCGTGGAAAGATCACGCTTCCCTGTTCACGTGGACCTGAGATACCGTCAAACTGTAACTTACGCATCTCAACACTCAGAAATACCAGACACTGCAAGTTCCTGAACCAATGCCCCGCAAGCCTGTCAGATAAAACCCTCCGCTAGCAGGTTCGGCCCTAGTGCCGACGCCCACCGCGGGACCAGATGCCTGGCCCAGGCGCCCTCCCTGAGGGACAAACACTGAGATTCTCTGAGAGCCCGCACGTGGTGTGGCGGAGCAGGGGCTGACGGTGCGGTTCGAGCCCCAGACCTGGCAGCTTGGAAACAGCAGATGCACGTGTGTGCAGGACACATCCTGGAGGAGAATGGGGGGAAGGAACCGTGGCGTGGCCATACCCCGTGGGCTACTTTCTCACTTTCCCTCTCTCCCTCTCTGGTGAGTGCACGTACCCTATAACAAAGCTTCAAAAGAAAAAATTCTCTAAAAATCGGATCCAAGGACCATCACTGCAGCTCACCAAAAGAAAAGGGCGTGCCACGTTAGTGACTCGGACACGGCGCCAGCTGGACCCTGGGCACGGGCGCAGGTGCGCGATATGTTTGCTGATGAACTATGTGTCCTGCATAACGGGCCTGGCCCACGAGACAAGGGAGCGGGTGGGAAGGGGCTGCCGTTTCTGCCAGACCATGAGAGCCCGACGCCCTGACTGCGGGAAGCCAGTGCCGCCGGGGCTACGTCCCTGCATGGCCAGGAGCTATCTCCGCAGACAGTCTCAAGCACCCTTGCGGTGGCATGCACGCAGCGGCCTGCGCTCTGGCTCCACGCCCCGCAGTGAGGCACATTCCCTGGCTGTGGTCTAGCTCCAGCAGCTCACGTGCCACTGAGGAGAAAGGGCAGTGAGCCGAGGCCCGCAGTGGCCAGCTCACGGGCCCACCTGTGGCGTGGGAAACGTGCCGAGAACCGGTGTCCCAGACCCGGTGCAGCCACTGCTCCCGTGAAACCCAAGCCCGATGGCAGGAGGGCAAATCCCTTACAGACGAAGCCCCAGCTTGGGTGCACAGACCATGCCGGGGCCTGGTGTGCAGGCTCTCACGGCTCGCAGAAGGGGGCCCCGTGGCCAGAGACCCACGATGGCTTTTCTAATAGACAAGCAATGGTCTCACGTCACAGGCCCCGCACCGTCACTCAGGCACTTCCTGCGGAAAAGACCACTTTGCCGGAGCCTCTGGGAGGCCCTGCTAAAGCGCTGGGCCCCTGCCCGCCTCCTCTGGCCAAGCGCTGTGACAGAGGGCATGGGGGATGCCTACCTGCCCATGTGGCCCTTGGGGGCCCGGCCGGGGTGGGCTATGTGTGGATCAGGCAGAGCAGACCAAGGTGGAGCCACGAAGCCACTCAGACGTTGCGGTCCCTACTCACGCCGAGGAGAGGGGCCCAATCTCAGCTCTAGTGCATGTGTGCCTGTGTGCATGTTGGGGGCGGGGGGACTAGTGTGAGTGTGTGCGTGTGTGTGTGGCGGGGGACTAGTGTGAGTGCGTGCGTGTGAGTGTGTGTGTGGCGGGGGACTAGTGTGAGTGTGTGCGTGTGTGTGTGGCAGGGGACTAGTGTGAGTGAGTGCGTGTGTGTGTGGCAGGGGACTAGTGTGA